CTCGCTCCTGGTACAGTTTTCTTTGTCAAATTCAGCTCACTTCATCCCTAGGATAATTTCTGATCCTTGTATGAATAATATGCAAACCAATCATAAACTTGATGGACGTCCTGCGTTAGATTTGCAAGTGCGTTTCTCCATTGACCGCATGTATGTGTCTCGCCATGTGAGCATTTAGGGAGCTGAGAGTGCCCCTTGTGATATATATCTTATATTGTGATTATCGGTTCAGACGTTCATGAGATGGCGCGTACATCGCATAGGTATGCCTGTTTTGCTTCGAGGGCGAATGAAGTAAGGGGGACTGGTATGATGGCGTCGATGGATACTTGGTGTTATGAGATGGTTTGATGGCCCGAGAGTGTTTTTGACATGCATGACATGTTCATCATGTTATGGTGTGAACTGCCTGCGCCTCAGGCCTCAGATGCGGCACATGTGCACCTAGTTCTTTACACCATACGCAATGTCGTCCAGCAAGGATCTATTATTTACCACTAAGCAAGATCTAAAGCGTATATACGATACATCACAATCTATCCTTCAGAACGTTAAATATCCAATCAGTCGACCGTGCACGTCTACGCTGTCTAATATCCTCTAAGCTAAATCTACTATAGCAAGTACATTCCTTCCTGCTTGACCTCGCTTCCTGTAACAGATTCTACCCAAGTAGCCGTCGAATGCCAGTTTCACATTCCACGTCATCCTCAAAGACGAGGGAAACGACTCTTTCGCTTCTACCTCTTTGATATCGACCCCTGGCCCAACGATGCCCGAACAGGGCTTATCCATACTGCTAGCGTCGACAGTAAATCCGTAGAATTCTGTTCCGTCCCTTTCGTTATGGAGAACGCAGATGCCACGCGCGTGCCCGTCAAATGACGTAGTAAACTTCATGGTGTTAGCATAACCCGGAACGGAAAAAAGCTGCTCGGTGGAAAGAGATATATTCCCTAATTTCTCCCCTGGCAGAGGAGGGGATAGAGTTACTCGGTGAGCAAAGTACTTCGTCAGATTAAGTCTCATGCAATGGGTAAGGAATTTGATCTGGGTTTGCCCTGTGACGACGTTGGTCATGGAGTCGCATAAAAGCGAAACGCGTTCGATATCAAGATAGCAATGTCCTTCGTGTGTGAGTTGAAGAGTAGGTGAGGATGCGGTGGTAATTCCCCCCGATGGGAGAGCGAATGCCTGAATGATCGCACGACAGTTTCCTCCTTCGTCGAGCTGGCTGACGATAGTGAGAGGGGTAAACATTGCAAGAATGTGGGTTTCAGTCGCAATGAGACGCTTCAGGTACGTCTCCTGCATGCAAGTTGTAGCGAAATTAGGGTCCTATATTTCATAATGAGGGATGTGTACGACGCCCAAGTGTTTAATACATACAATGATAGAGCTCGGTGGTGGAAAGCGGTACAGGACGCGGGTGTGGGTATCCACTGCCAAATTCAAAGTACCAGTCAGATGATCGCTCATGCACAGCAATCGCTTCCCAGCAGAGAGCTGCGACATTCCCATTCCGATTACATCGCCAGGAATCACCATGGAGGATTCCAACAATGGGCCATCAGAAGAGAAACGAACGGAGAGCAGTTTACTACCAAAATTTCGTTCGATATCTAAATGCGATAGATGGCGGCAACTTACTGTGAGAACGACGGACTGCTGCGAGCGCTTTCCATCACGATAGCGTGCATGATACATCCTCCGTCCGCTGCCTCAGAAGTCGCGCTTTTGAACGATAGTATCTGAGCGCCATCAGCATGATATACGACGTGGCGCAGCCCGCGCTCCAGATCGTAGCACAGGATGTCGGGACCGCTGATGTGCGGGATGACGAGCCATAAGCCAGCCACCACTTCCCAATGGTCTCCTTGCAAAGCTGACCACTCGGGCTCAAACCAAGTCGCCTTGGAAGTTATCGTTAGAGCTTGCTTGTTCCACTTGACGCCAACTTGAGTGCTTTTGACGAGGGTGTTTTCCAAGAACTCGCGAGACTGAGAGTCGAGTGGTCCGAGGGGACGAGGAAGTTTTGCACGCTTGTACGCATCGTGCCATATAGCCGTGTGGAATGTCAAGTCGCGAAGGCCTTTGCACACCTATACCGATCATTACAAGTATGTTCAATGTGAAGGGATATGATAAGCAAACGACGAGCAAGGATTTCTCACCAGTCGAAGGCAGATGATTTCGCGGACGGAAAGAAAGCACAGGACACGGTACAAAGCGTCATGTGGAAGACTTGTCAGCGTCATGGTCGGTGCTCAAAGGTATGTTACCAGCGCCAAGTCCACGGCATGATGATGTGGCGCAGCGCGCAGAGGGAAGCGAACAAGTGCCTATTCGCTAGTTGTGGTATTCATAGAGTATGGCTTTCGTCAATGCGTGTGAGCACCAAGTTCGAAATTCAAGCTCAAGCGGCAATCTCCGGATGAGGTCTTGTAACGAAAGATGTAAGCGAGAATACTAGTACTGGGCGCGGACATACCAAATCTGATTGTCCTAGTGTAACAATGGACTCGTCCTCCTTGGAACATCTCCATCTCCAATGATTGGTTAGTGGAGATGACGACTTGAAAGGACTGGGATGCAGTTGCAGGAATCCGCTTGGCCTCTGCATATGCTTGTCTGCATCCAACCCAAATTTCCGTCATGCAACTAGGAGACTCTTTGCGGTTAGAGAGTGTCAACAACGGTTGGAGGGTGTGGCCGGTGAGCATGTCACATGGATAAGCACTGCTGAGACTAATTTTGTCACAATCATCCATCTAGTAAAGCCGATCCACCATCAGAGGAATGCAAGGGATGCTCAATTCTAAAACGTCGAGTTCAGTGCGTTTCATTTGACGTTATATATGTAGTAACAACATTGATTACCGACGCTTACTGCCAGTTGTTACGGTATTCCCAGGGCCAGAAGCTGGCCGTCGCTCAGCAAGTTGCGAACCACACGTTATCATTGTTGATCAACGTTCAACGTTTCGAAACGACTGTGATCAACATGCAGCGACAACGACAGGACAACTCACATTGAATGCTGTTCTAAACGGTACACTGGCCATAGCTAGGCACAATCAGGAGGCTTATAAGCAGATTTTCTCTCCAGACAATCAAGATCTCGAGGACAATGATCACGACCGACAACTCGCAATATTTCCATAGGATGGGCGCAGGCTTTCGCGCTATCTCCTTCATTACATCTGAACCTGTTCCTCGTGGCCCCTACCGCCAGTGGCAAAAGTACCAAGAGTTCTTCGACTTACATTGAGTTGGCCTGATCGTGATTTTCGTCATGCTGGACTTGGTTCTGGAACCGGCAGGGAAGGTGTTGTCTGTCACTGTCAGCGTGGTAGTTCATTAATCATTAATCATTGCCGACTCTGAGAATGTTAACCAGTACTATTGGTTACCACTTGCTCGTGCACACCACATTTCGTGCAGTCACATAATTGTAACGGAAAGTCACGGTGTAGTCACACTGGCCGATTTCGCAGTTCGCTCGACACGCTGTGGATTAGACATCTACACAATGTATATACGAGTGTATGTAGTAATCTAATTGAATATGTATTGCGGATTGCCGGAGTAATATGAACTGTGACTATTAGGATGCCCAGACAGCAATGGCTGTGATACGACAGGGGTGGTTGTTGAGAGTACAGCGGGGAGAGTCAACAACCGGAATCCGCTCAGGAACTGACCCTCCGATCCCTTCAATATTTCGGTATTCAGTATTAAGGGGGCCATCAGCCAAAACAAAGGATGGAGGAAATAGAATCGCCAGCTGCCGAAACACATTCAATTATCGTGACCAGCTCTAAATGATCACTGTGGATACGATAGCGTTCTCGGTTGTGTTTTGAGAAGATAAATTTTGAATTGTCTCCCTTTCGGCCACCTCCCATCTGACACCCCTTCTCGTCAACATTCCAGTTGTGTTCTGGTGGAATTCCCTCATGCTTCTCATCCATGATCTTACGCATATCAAAATACTCCGTGATTGTTGCCTTGTTGAAATTTTGCGCGCGTTTCGGATCCAGGCCTCGGGGTTTCGCAGCGATGATTTCTACATGACGAGAAAGGAAGCGGCGGACCCAGTTCCGGCCAGGGTAAACTTTCACCATCTCCAGTATTTGAGCGCGGAGTTTTCGAGGATGTAAAGGGGTTGCTGAATTCGAGTTATGGTGGCACCAGTCCACCAGTACTCTTTCTTGGGATTCGTTGAGGAACGAGCGTCGAGTATGGTGTTTGCCTGCCGCACGATCTCGCACAGTTTGTGGGGGTACCTGAAGGAAAATTGAGTTGCAACAAAATTGTTGAGGGAGTGCTTACATTGTGAGCTATGGCAGCACTGCGAAAACTGGCATGAACACCGGTCAAGGTATCACGGATGGCAGCCTGAATGCGAGCTTCTTTGGTGGGATCTCGGGGACCTTTCTGCTTCCCACCGACTCGAGTGCGCGCCATCCGTGCAGCGAGTAGACGCGTTGCCACTAACGCGTTGAGTTAAAACTCCGCTGCGGCAGCGGACGGCAGGTGACAATGGAAGTGACAAAAGCCTTTGTCACAACCAAACATTTATCTCTCTTGTTTCTTGTCCAAATGCATCTGTCTAAGCTCGTAAGACGTTCTTGTGTATTATTATTTAAAATAGATGTAGTAGTTTGAACATTTTGTAGTAGGAAAAGTGTTGTTTTTGAGGGATGCACGAAATGTGGTGTGCACGAGCAAGTGGTAACCAATAGTATGTTTGACCGGGAGACAGGTCTCTGTCAGGCCTTTTTCCGGCCTCGGAACTAATTTACAGAGCCGAAATGAAACTGTTTACTACATAAATAACGTCAAATGAAACGAACTGAACTCGACGTTTTAGAATTGAGCATCCCTGCAGTCGAAATTCAAATGCCTATCGCTTAGCGCTCATACGGCACTGCAACAAACATTGCCTCGAGGCGTTAATGGCCTGTTATTTTACACGTGGGACTCTTAAGGTATTGACCGATAGTCTTACTTCACTTCAACTGTTATTCACAATGACTCGGAGAAAAGGCAATTCGTCGAGGGTTTCGACTCAACAAACCCACACATCTAGCGAAGGAACAGCTCGTGAAAGTTCGGTACGTGGTTTTTGAGGGTCACTTGATTCACTCCACTTCAAACACTGATATCGATGAATTTTTCATCTAGCACCGACCCCGTGGCAGAGTCGGTCGGTTTCTGCAGAAGGTTAAGGGCGGGGTGAACAGCTTGAGAACCTCTGTGAGTCCACGAGGATGCGTAATGAGTGTCCTGGAATACGACTAAGAGTGGCATGAGCGCTCGAAGAATTCCCGCAGCCACAGCCCTGTTCCCCAGAATGGACGTGCTTCATCGACTTCGGTAGGTTCTCATACTTGCCCTCCAGTTTCTGCGCTCTCTCTAAATTTTGGTGGTCGTGCACGTTCAGGCGGCTCCGTCTCGTGTGCAAGTGGAGGCTGATGCCCAATCGGCTCGAGAGGCTGTAGAGGACATGCATTCACTTCCGGGACATGCGACAACCGTGGTTTCTCTGTTTCAGGGAGCACGAGAGGATCTCGATACTGCGGACAAGTTCCAGGACACTTATCTCGAACCCTTCAAGGTATTCGACGATGTTATCGGGAAGATCGCAGATGTATGGGCCCTCCTCTCGATCAGAATCGAACTAATCCCGTTCCACAGGTACATCCATATGCAAAGATGGCACTGGGCGTGTTGTCTAGCGCAAGCGAATCGCGACAAAGCGGTACGCGAACTTTTCAAGAAGTTAGGTGAAGTTTACAGCTTCATAATGCAAGACGAGATGCTTGGCCAGATCTCGTCGATACACGCTATCCTTGGAAAGATTTCTCATCAGACCCGTGAATGCGCCCATTTTATCAAAAATTATTCAAAGACCAAGAACTTTTGTAAGTCTAAACATTATCACAGGGAGCAGACTTGGAAAGGATGTCCTCTCGGAAACGGACGACACGATTAAAAAGTACAATGACGTGTTCGAGGGACTCATGCAAAACTTCCGGGACCAGGTTGCTCGCCACGTAGCCACAGGCTTCCACGACATAGGCATACACGTCCACCGTACGGGTGAGGGTTTGGACGTCCTTGCGACTTGACATATATTCATATTTTTTCAGAAGAAACATTGGACCTCAGCGGTATGACTTATGCAGAGGGCGCCGGACTAGACACCAAGAAACAATGCCTTGAAGGGACGCGCACAGAAATCCTTTCCCAGATTATGGAATGGTTCAACAGCACTGGGGACAACGTTCCACGCGTGCCTTGGCTATCTGGCCCTGCAGGCAAGGGCAAATCGGCCATCGTCCACACCATTGCGAACTGGTTCGAAGATGTGGGAGCACTTGGTTGGTGTTACTCTTTTGACCGCCAAGGAGAAGCAGATCGTCGCCATGAAAAGATCTTTTCCACGGTCGCGCGCGACCTGGCTGACCGTGATCCGGAGATGAGGCGGGCATTGGCAAATGTAGTTCAGGCCGCGAGTTCGCTCAAGAAGACGGCGGATATCATCCAGCAGTGGCAGAAGCTTCTTATCGAACCACTGGAGAAGTCATCTGGGTCAACTGGGGAGCCCATCGTGATCGTGATCGATGCACTGGATGAGAGCGGTGGAGTAGAGACACGAAGAGACCTCCTGCGTATTCTAGCTGGCAAACACCACAACCCCGCTGTTCCCAAAATCGCAGACCTCTCTGGCAACTTCCGCTTCATCATTACCTCTCGCCCGCTTGATTATATCAAAGACAAGTTTTGTGGTGTTCAGCATATTCGACAGATATCAATGGATGATATTCCACGAGCAGATGCAGAGCGCGACATCCGTGCTTACGTATCCAAGGAGTGGAAGGGCTGGATTTCCAGGATAGAGAGGTCGCAGTCCTCGCTGAGAAAGCTGATGACTTTTCGAGTGGGCGCGTCTCGCTTGCGGATACATCAAAGAGTGCCATGCTGGGCTATCTCCAATAGAGTGCTACCAGGCTGTGGTGTCACGCGATCCTGCTGAGATAAGCCCAGTATTGCACGACATGTATCGCCTCATTTTAAAAGATATCATGCCCGGGGATATATCTCCTCATTCGCAGAAACTGCGTTCGACTGCGTTAGCGAGATTTCACTCAGCGATGGGACAAATACTAGGCGCAGCTGAACCCCTTCGTTTAGCTTCCCTGAACGCCATGAGGTACCATTTTCCAAAGCAAGAGGACGATTTCGACGTGAAGCTTATGGTAAAATACATGGGCTCCCTTCTCAGCGGCACCACCGTCTCAGATTCCCCAATCCGACTCCTTCACGCATCCTTGCATGACTTCTTGACGGACGAACGATCCAGTGGAGGGTTTTTCATCGACCTGTCAAAGGCGCAACGCAATCTTGCATTCGCATCACTTCGAGTGATGGAACACGGTCTTCGCTTCAATATCTGCAATTTCAAGTCGTCGTATCTACCTAATAATGAAGATCCCGGGCTGCAAGAACGAGTCCAAAAATACATCTCCCCACATCTATCATATTCCTCTCGATTTTGGACGTCGCACGTACGAACCACATCCTTCGACAAGGAGCTCGCGAAAGAAGTGAAATTGTTTTTCGACCACGAGCGGCTGTTTTTCTGGCTCGAGTCACTTACCCTGATCAATGCGCTCAGCGGTGCAAGTCCTGCCCTTCCGCCCGTTATCCAGTGGCTGAAGGCGAGCACACTGCTACTGGGTGTCAAATACAGGGCTCATGCGCAACCGCAGGGCCATTCCGAATTCAAAGATGTCTCATCCACGTACAGAGGTTCATCCAAGTCTTCGGTGGCTTGATTTTACACAGCACGCCACATCTGTATGTATCAGCAGTCCCATACTTGCCTGCCAATTCTCCGCTATCGAGAAAGTTTTCTGCACGGTTCCCAAATACTCTTCGTGTGGCATCTGGACGTGATATGAGTTGGCCAGCTGTTCAGACCGTGCTAAGGGGGCACACCGGTTGGATTTCCTCGGTCTCGTTCTCGCCGGACGCCACTCACATTGTACTGGTTCTTGGGATTACACTGTTCGGCTGTGGGATGCAGGGACGGGGGAGCCAGTTGGTGAGCCCTTGCGGGGGCACACTCGTTCAGTGAACTCGGTCTCGTTCTAGCCGGACGGCAGTCGCATCGTCTCTGGTTCAAAGGATTACACTGTTCGGCTGTGGGATGCAGGGACGGGGGAGCCAGTTGGTGAGCCCTTGCGGGGGCACACTCGTTCAGTGAACTCGGTCTCGTTCTAGCCGGACGGCAGTCGCATCGTTACTGGTTCTTGGGATTACATTATTCGGCTGTGGGATGCAGTAATGCGGCAGCCGTTGCAACAGTCCGCTCTGTCAGATCCTTACGAATTATTAGATGAATATCACACGATTGAGGCCGCCGCTACCATGACATTGAACTCTTCGAACAATCACTTAATTCGCTTCTCGCCCAACTCCACTCATGCGCTGCGCAATGCTCCTGAATTAACAGAGGGAGCATCCCATGACGACCGCAGTTCGACCTACTTTTTGCTGAATTGTCGCAGTGGATGGATGGTAGGACCCAAACATCGGCTGTTGTTCTGGGTACCACCTGCTTCTCGACACCTATTTTATAACCCTCAGACTGCATTAGTGATACCCAGGGGAGGTCCTGAGCTTGATTTGAGCCGTATGGCACATGGACAACACTGGCAAAATTGCCGAGAGGGGTGAGTCTCTTCAAAGCCCTTTCCCTTCCTCGCACTTGCTAAAATTTACACTTGCAGACCTTAGTACCGACGATGATCGCAGCAATGGATCGATCATGGAGATTTCTGATATAATTTAGATGTGACCGGATGTACGCTGAATCATACTACGTATTCAACTCTATACTCAGCATCCAGTTCCAGTTTAGGAGCGAACGACTTGAGCTGACTGTGTGGCACTCATGGTGTTCGTGCTAGTTTGTGAGAGCACGTAACGACGGACAAGGCATGCGATTCCATCAGAGATGCGGTTACGCGTGCGCCGTGGATTGCGTGAAAGTGATGCATAGCATCGGTGCTTTCTTATGGCGGACTGAGAAGCTGAACAGAAGGACATTGTTGTTGCAGTCATCTTTGGTTGTTCAAGTTCCCGTTGCACCTAGTACATTCAAAGTGGGCTAAAAATAGGGTGGGACAATATATGTAGTTCATTGCTATACAGTACAACATGTAATCGCGATATCCACGACGACGGTCAGGACTAGAGCACTATGGAAAACCATGCTTGTAAGGATGATGTGAGTTGTGAGGTATGAACAAACAGCTGTGGGGAAAAGGTGTCGGGCAAGAGTAAGCGAACGGAGGATGAAATTGAAGCAATGCGAAGAGTAGGAGCAAAGATGAGCCGTTCCGGCACGATAGATGTCAGAGGATGGTGTTGGATGCAGGTGCACCAGGGTGTCACAACGAGCGTATCAGTCAAGGAGTTCTTCAATAGTCGATTTTTGGAGACTCCACAAAAGTCTAGGGACTGCAGTCGAGTTCCATAAGTCTGTATTGAACTCGCGATAAATGAGTGACGATATGAATCTTTGCATATGAGACTAGGAGAAGCAGACTGCGACTCACGAAGCTGTTGAGAGGGAGTTCATAATACAGTTACTACGCACGTCTTCAACACATAGGTCCGGAGTCCTTGATTGCAAATCGTAGTTATTAGATCGTGAATATTATCGACCATGTTCGTGGCCCATTACATCCTCTCCAAAGCAAAAATAGGTGGGCTCAGCGTAGCGGTGTCTTCAATTCCGCTCCAGAGGTGTGAACATCTTGCATGGAAGCGATCGATCGTGGTTCGTCAAATATTATGTAAGTTTCCTAATTGAACGCGACTGCCATCAAACAGTTGTAATGCGCGCTGTGGCAAGCCTGCACATCGTCGTAAGTCTGACTGTCTGAGCACTCAGTACTCAGTACTCAGTCTTATGGTCATTTTTGTGATAATATAAATCACTCGCTTCAGCTCACACGCGCTGTGCACGCATGAAGTTATCGTATTTGTATTCCAATATCTCAGACGCCACATTATCGACGATAACCAGATTCCGCACCTTGAAACCCCATATTCAATAGTCAATCCTTCGCCGTTCTCAGATATCATCAGCTATGTAGTATGGACTGCAAAACGTTGCGAGTGCAGTTTGATGGACACTCATACCTAATAATCTTAACCACTCGCGCGCTCATAAGTGATCGTATGTGTATTTCGATATCACGGATGCCATGTTATTGATGATGACCAGATTCTAGACCTCGAAACCCCCCAATACCCCAAATACCCCAATACCAACCAGTCTATCACCGAAATCGAAGACCAGAGCGTTATCGACTTTATAACCGGGCGCTCAGGCTGGCAGCAGTTGAAAACAACGTCGCGTGAGATCTTAGGCTTGGAAAGCTTGATACGCGGTATAAATCATCATCATCAGCAACTCTCCGAAAAGATGAATAAGATCACCCAGGGACTAGTATCGGTTCTCTGACGCTCGCCAACTGAATTTCTATCCCTTATTTTTCAGCACTGTCTCCCGAAGATTGCCGGGACTTGTCACTTGTCGCTCCCGTTAAAACTCAAAGCTCCCATGATATTGACCAGAATGTCGATGGTGGATGGTTGTTGCTACGGGCACACCCAGTCTGTGGTGCAGATTGTACGTGGAAGTCGACGACAGAGACTGGCAGCGGGCAGCTTCCTGATGTGACTCATGGCTCAAGCAGTTGCGTGGACTCCACCTCTCGTTAGCAAAATGGTCCGACAGTCATTCTCCTGAACTTCAAAACCTTCTCCGCCCTTACATGAAACAAATTTCGTCTCTCTCTACCTTTTTTGTCCACTTCGCCGAGACACCCGAACTTTTGCTAACAGACCTCCCAGCGCTTGGGGAGCTGACCATATTCTTGAATAATCCTTGTACCAGCTATTTGAGAATATACGTCGCGACTTCCATTAACCATGCTGGCTCGCAGCAATACTGCAATCGTTCAACCTCCCGCGCTATTATTTCGGTTCCATATGGGCCCACCTGACAGATGTCGAGATTGGTCTAGTATCCGAACCGTTTGTGGTCCTTCAAGTACTCCAGCTATATCCCGACCTCTCATTAACATTCTGCGCTAGATTCCAGCGAACACAAGCTCATGCATCGCAAAATTCAATTCTTACGGATCCGTTATACTCCCTCTTCGAGCAGATGCCACGATCACACACCCTTATCTGGCCCACTCAATGCTCTATCGCTCCCACATTTGTGCGTGCTCGAAGTTTGCCGCGGTTATAGTCACCGTATCACATGGCCTGCAATGAAGGCACTGTTGGCACGGTCAAAGTGTCCTCTGGAACCAAGATTTTTGGCAGTTATGTAAAGATGACATATGAGCGCTTGAGCAGCGAGCAGGATACGTTACCTTTGTTCCTTCCATTGCAATAGGAATAGTGAATCATGAATATTTTAGGTTACCCTTATCCCATTCCTCGAGTTAGTGAATACTTCGTGTAAGACCCGGGTCGTTGCACGTTTTGCGAGATAATAACATTGGGCTGGCAGTAGATGTATTTTCAGGTTGCACAGGACTGTCGATTGTGTACTGTTCATGCTTGTTTTCGGGATCCAACAAGACTTCTTTCCCAAAGGACATACTGCTACGGTACACAGGTGAAAATCCGAACACATCTAGACCTCAACTCACCCACAAGCCGTTCACAGAGCGACTGCATCCGTGTGCTGAGACTAGCAGTAAAAAAAGAAAACGCAGACCACGTCAACATCGAGTGTCCACGTACTGAACCTGTGCTACGCCGATCTGATACTCTGACAGGGCATGATCTGATGTAGCGCGGCTATATGAAGGGCACTCTCTATCCATACAACACCGGAGAACGGGAGAAGGCATCCGGATCATCACGGCGACCATTGCGGCTTCTGGGGAATTCAGAATTGACGAAGAAGACTTGGAATCGTTGGGAAAGACCCGTGTAGAGGCATCAGCAGATACCGCAGATTCAGACGTGCCCATTCCAAGAGCGGATTTAGATGTAACCTGAGAGCTGACAGACACCGATACAGGCTATCAAATATAATCAGACGTTACAAGTGACAGAACCTCAGCTCAACACACACCTGAACACTTGACCATTCAGACTGATCCATGCTCACGGCTTCCTGGGTTGGTGAGGGAGGTCTCATCCAAGTCCCGCAGAACACTAGAGGGATTGACGTTCCACCTCCTTCATGTACCCCGTCGTCCTCCATGGATTCTAGTTGCACATTCAAAGCTCTACCGAAGAGCACAGTACATATAGCGCGGAGTGCGCTACGCACACATAAAACGATGGAGCAGAGAGCACACCACAAAATCGCCGTGTAGCACGGGAGAAAAACGACCGCCAGAATGATCGTAGCAGCAAGACCGCCGCATTGGACGAAGTTGTCGGAGTGGTCACACTGGGCATCTGAATCGTCTGTAGGGGTGGCGGTGGGGGTAAGGGTGGGGGTGAAGGGAAACATCATTGGGATGACTACCCCTGAAACAAACGGCTATCAAGTTGTCATCTTTAGTTGATCCGTGCGTCGACACCCATATATATACCACACAAAGAGGGGCTTCGGACACGTTCACTGAGACTCACGCGTGACGCAGTAGTACTTCGATCAACCGGCCAAGACGATTTAAGCATGTATCGATGTGTCAACAGGAAGGGTACAACAACAAGCTTCAGTTCCACGACTTGAACAAGATCTGAATTATTGAAGCCCTGGGAGTCCTTGCCTCATTCGACATTCAGGTTCATGCGGAATGATCATGGTGAGGGGAAATAAGGCTCAAATTTGTTCACGTGACGTGACTGTACCACTGGTATGATTACTATTACTAAGGTTTACTACGGTAGTACTTCCCTTACTATTCTCGGCATGCACAGACTCGGACGTGCATTCAAGTCCTACATTCACTCTTTCCTCCCTACCTGGGCATCTTATATTGCGAGGTCCCTGAAGATTTCAAAACAATAGTACAGAGAAGTCTAGCGAGCCAGGTTTCTCCCGATGAAGCCGACACCGGGTAAGCAATAATGCTATTATACAACTTACTTGCAAGTGGGTGCTTCAAGTTATAACGCTAAGTCCACACTCCCTCACAATCGAAGGAACGGTAGGAACTTGATTGACGGGTCAGAACTCATTCTCTCACGCAACTCACCCGAACTGGTTTACACGATGGAGACGGTACCAAAATCTACATGTGCGATTCAGACACTCCACCCGGCATCCTCAGTGGGCATTGCGTCCCAGCGCCCTAACTCACAGTGTTGCAAGGCACAGCTGTGTAATATGTGAGCTTACCTCTTAAGCTTCCACGATTTTCCGACATCCTTGGTGTATGCCTGACTGTATGAACAGGTGCACACGAGTCTTGGTATCTGCCGATTAAGTCACTAACCTGTATGCATCTAGGAGCTTTCCGCGTCCTTTGATCATCACGTGACAGACCTCTGCGCTTCGTATGATCGTGGCGCACTCTCAAAGTTCAAACAACCTATCTGCTATTCGGATCAGGATCCAATAAAAGAACATAACAATAAGAAAAAATTGTCAGTTTACTTCGCCATGTCATTTGCATCACATTGTTAATTTAATGCGGTTCAAACATCTACAAAGTCGCGCGGTGATAAAACAATTGGCTCAAGACTCAAGAGTCGACGGCAACCTCCACCCAGGCTTCCTCATCATCCAATGCTGTCTCACTTTCTGACAGCTTCCGCTGTTTTTGCGAGTTGTTACTGCTGCAAGTTATCACTGCAACTTGGCACCAATGCCACGGCGGTGGATACCATATACATATACAATTACTGACGGCATATTCTATCAGCGACTCTGGACCGAGTAGTCTTATCAGCTACGGCCGCAGTGCCATCGCAGCTGCGAGTGATGCGAGTGTCTTAGGTTGCACTAATGAGACTATCTGTTTTACTGGCCCGCAACTTTTGAGAGCACGAGTGGCAAAAGATAGATCCAGGGCGGAAGGAACGACTGTCTCCCATCTATATGGTCTGGCTAGGGGAGACTAGATATAGGGGTGCACATCCAAGATCGACTGTCAGACGACCATTCAAGAAACTTTCAGCAACTTACAGTCGAATGAAAGGCGCCTGACGTAAGGGCATTTCCCAGTCGACGAATCGTCCCTCAAGTTCTTTGGTGTCAAAGACCCGGCCAGAATGTTCGAGATGAAACATTAGTGCTATGTAGCAAGATTATCTATCCAAGGCCAACGAGCGATGGCTTATCTCCCCCGTAGCCCTGAGTTGCAGTTCGTGGCATCCGAGTCAGTGGGACATGATTCAGACGATTGTGAAGGGAAATCGTGTAGGTTCATGTTCCTGAGTCCATAATACTTGTGGTTCGCCGCCGTGGCCTCCGGCCCTCCGCCATATAATGGAGATGACAGTTCGACATTAGTCTTCGACCAGAGCCTGCGATAGACAACTGGTGATGGTCTCTGGCTGTGAAAACAATCAAGCCAGACCACTGGCAAGCTGACTAACTTCTGAGCTACCGTCGATCGTGCTCCATACCGTCGCATGCGAGCACGTCAGACTTGATATGCCTTTTACTTTTGAATTTACCCGCAACGGTGTATTGAGGGTGTACGGCGGTTAGCAAGTAGTAGAGTCACAAGCGGTGGACGATGTGGCTGTGCAGAGCGAGCCCAATTTGTTCAACTGACGTGTTGTGCACTTAGTACTCTGCTTCTTCCAACCCGTCATGTCCCTTGTAACCCGTTGGTTCTCAAAGGTAAGGCATCAGCACTTTTTCTGTGGTTTTGTGCTAAAATTATACATTAGGGTCGGTCAGAGAACTACGAAGAAGTTCTCTCCGCACTTGCAGCAGATGTTGCACGACGGCAGACACGTCTAGCAGAGATCCGACTCCGTGAGCGGCGGACGACACTCCAGTTCACGCTTGGAACGCTCTCTCTATGGATTTCATTCGTATATTTGTGGTATGCGCGTATACTTCCTGTGACGTGGCATGACTCGCTGCTAGCGAAAGTAGCAGTCCTGGTGGGACCTGTAATGTATGTGCCACTATGCATTTGAACCAATTCCCACCACATTCATGTACCATCCTAGAATATTGTTTACACGGAGAATGATGCAGATATGGTATTCATGGAAAGGCGGACGCGAAGGTGAGTTTCTCAGAAACAAATTCTTTCACCGCCCAACGAGAGTGCGGCAGAGAAAACCCTCAGAGTTGTCACTCAAAAGCAGCGAGCCAAAGTCGAAGAAATTAAGAAAAAAACCAACTATGACTCGACACGAAGCCTGCTTGAGAAATACGCTGATCCTGGTACTCCGATACGCCGCTCGCAGCCTCTCTCACAGCCCCGTACACCATTGCCTACAACCCCACAGGCACACCTGCAAACACCTGTCGTCCAACAAAGGAATCTACCTCTACAGCTTTCGCGTGCGTATGTACGTGTCTATGAATAATTCGACACTCTGACACATCTTGCAGCAACGCCACAGCCAATTCAGCCGACCCGTAAGCAATGGTATGACAAACTCGCCGATGCCATTCTGGGCGACGAGGAATCATCAACGAGCGTGGCTGCCTCGCGCTACGCATTGATTTGCCAGAAGTGCTTCTCACACAATGGGCTCGTTAAGGAGAGCGTCTGGGAAGACACCCGTGAGATCGCTCAAACCTGTTCGCCTCGACATACTAATGTATCTGCCAGAATACGTATGCCCGAAGTGTGGCTTCCTTAATCCTTCCGCTAGATCAAAGAGATTGGGACTTCAGCACACGCCATCGCCACCTACCAATGTGGATACGGACCCAATCGCATCTTCGCAAGCTGCCTCTATGGAGGGCGTGGAGTCAACCTCGCCGTCTGTCGACATGGTGCCTGAGAAGAAAGAGCGAGTCCAGTCGCGAGATGATTAGCCGTACACGAGGTGAGGCAATGCAGACAGAGCACTCCGCACCGTAACCTGTTCATTACGAGGATATAATAAGCCTTAAGGACATTTCGCTTGGTTTTTAGCTATAGCATCATCTCCATTATCACCAGTAGGTAGTTACAGTCGACCTCGCTTTGGTCCATCACACCCCTTTCGAATCCATATAATGCAGCATCGGTCAGTAAGTAATGGTTTGACTTGCAACAAGAATTGGATTCAAGTCCGTTGTGTTACCGTTGTACAGAAGCAACTGCTTCCTCTTAACATTCCTTGTAATCTATAGATCAACGTGAAAGTCTTCAGCGTAATATTGATATGCCTTAAGATTGGTTGCCGAGGCCACGCCCACTGAAGTCACCGTTCAATGGCACCACCAAGAGATATCGAAAAAAAGGATACCGACCTTGTAAGTAGTGAAGACTAAACGTGCAGTGTTATCTACATGGTCTTACAAGTGGCGGACTCGCAATTTCGGAGGTCGTACTTTTGCTTTATGGAAGACAGGTTCGCATATTTGTACCCAAAGAACACTGTACAGGCTTTGTATTCGGAAGTAGCAGATATGAGCCAACGAACAGAACTGACCTTGCTGCCAGTTCATCTCGAAAACGTTGTCTTCATTCTGATAACTGCTCGCAATGCCACGCGCGGTAAGAGGATTAGTCGCATCGTGAACTGCTTCCACAATCTCGTCGTTTCATTGGCATCGACTATCCATAGCCTGAAGAACTCATCAATCCAGTCTTGTCTACGCAGCATTCTCACAACGCACTTCGTATAGACCACATGCCATGCGGCTCCGTAGAACCAAGGGTTCGCACCTGTCTCGTTGGCCTTCTGGCGCGCATATTCCCTAACAAGAACAGCAGGACTGCGCCGGAGGTACCCGCGGTCCGGACTGGAGAAGTTCATCAAGAATTTGACTTCCTGTCAGATCGCTTCTGCTACTTCTTGTATTGACGTCGACGTTGAAAGGCTCGCATGTGGAATGAGACGGGACGAGAGTTGGTTTGATGCACTGTAGTGGTTTGCGCTATCGAAGAAAGGCCCGATCTTCTCTGTTTCAGCGGCTGTGACATAGTCACCTCGGCAACGATGTTTGCGTCTGTCAGACAGATGCAAACATCGTTGCCGAGGTTGTGTTTGACGCCACGCTGTGATTGGACGAAAGTGTGAGAATTTCAGAGAAAAATGGGTTGAGGGTCGAGATGTGTAATGTCGTGACTCGTGGTGGACAAGTAAAAGTTCTGCGAAAGACATGAGGGCAGAAAATGAATCAAATTTCCTGACTTACGAGGATGTACTGTGCCTTGAATGGAACCAGAGCCAAAACCATGCCAGAGTTAACCAGTTCGGTTTGGTACTTGCCCAGGAGCGCAATAAAATCAATGGCCAGCGTAGTCAAGTTTTGGGGAGGATTTGGCTCAATAACAAGGAGAAACGCCCTGATGTCAATGGCAGGATATGTTTGAATTGTCATAGACGCTGCGCATAACGTATCAGATTTTATCTATGGTCAGCATTACAGGTCACCCACTGATGATTCCCATTGCCTTTGCCTCTCACAGCCCAGAAGTACTCAGGGTTCTGGATAGCATTGATGGTTCTTATACTTCTATCAGTAATCGTGATCTATCAAGGACTCATCATGAGATTGAGAGGATCACATCGAGATTAGAAAGCGTATCCGTCACCTCGACTTCAAGGATGTGATCAGCCTGTACCAATGTTATTTGAGTGATTCGGATTCTTATTCAAAGAAAGATTACATGCGCCGAGCCTACATGCGGGGGTCAACGTTGACCTTGGGATGATGCAAAGCGAACTGTGATCAAAGCCAAGCTACTTACACTCCATGTCTACCGCCCTGTAAATAGCCGTCAGCTAGGTTCTCTGATTAGACGGTTCATTCTACCACCTCCAACAGCAGTGTATGCTTCTAATATAGCAGAGAAATTCATCGCCCCTGCATAAGCATATACCAATAAAACACGTTAACCCCCGCACGATGCTATTTGCGAGCATATAGATACATAATATTGTACAGTTGTGCGCCTGCACCAAGAGTCAACACTGGCACGGACGCTGTGGCAGATCCTCGTGGCACAGGCACAAACTCGGGCCAGTGCACCGCAGTCAGCGTGTAATCTAGACTTTCAGATCAGAAGATCCATAATATCGTCTATCCGCCCATAATGCTTGGGCCTTGCAAAACATTTAAACTTCAAACCATGGCACTACAAACACCACCCACCGCTGTTGGCATGAGGAATTCATTCTTCGCGATTGACAGAGCGAGACTTTATCAACCACGAAAGACCCGGGCGAATTCTATCAACAAGCAAATTGGTAGCCTATTCGATAGGTGATGGAAGAAACTTACTTTTCCTGATTTAAGTGACCAGTCCCTGACAAAGAGCCGGCCGTAGAGCACCAGTGCTTAGACTACCTGAATAATGAGAGACCAAAATATTGTGTGAATCAGCAACATACATAACACTCGGTCATAAGTGCAGCACCCTGCTTCGGTTGACTCGAAGCAAGGCCCACCTCTAACACTGTAGCCAAAACCGAACTGACCGACATGACTAGAGTTTGGATACATACCGTGGTCAAATGTCAGATCGATACTTATCAATATTCATTGGAGTAACATTTGGAGAGAAGACATACCACGACAAAACCAAAGTACTCTTGTAGCACATTTTTTCTGCTCTCAGACAGGCTTGGATGCGAATGACGAAGAAAAACCTATTTCTCGTTGCGATGTAACAGATTGAGTGAAACATATGCATGATGTGGCTACCTAGTTCCGCGCAAGCTGTTGCATCGCACATCTGTGATCCCGGTCTCTAGAATGCCAAAAGTTATGATATCGACTCTGACTGAGAATAATTCATTCCTTGGCGTCGGTGACTGCACTGTGCAGCTCTTCAAGTTCAATTTCAAACTCCGATCCACCCAAACTCGACGACTTGGAAGTTCCTATGGCATGTCGACAACTGTCAGATGCATAGCACGGGAATATATGGACACACAGCAGCGTCGACGAACATCTATGCACTAGTCAATAATAAAAATGGGTGCTATAGGTTTTTCTTTCTTCCGCGCAGTCAACAGATTTCTAGTCCAATGGCAAGTTTTGTCTTAAATTACTCCCTGGTCCCTATCCTTGTCTTGAATCTTGATCCTACAGTGCCATGGCTTATATCGTGTCGCTCTGGAAAGGTCCGTAGCTAGGCTGCATCCACTCCGGTGGCTGTCTGTATGGCGGTGCTAGGGTAGGTTGGGCCCAGAATCTATAACACATTTATTGGTACGGGTCTTCATACGATTCAACTGGCCCGGACATCATACAATCTAATCATTGCTAAACACTGACTACATTAAACGTGAGCTCCCTTGCTAGGGCCCGACCTCAGTAAGTAGGGACGATCGTCAATAAAACATCTAAAAGCGAAAACGTGGACATGACAAACATACAAGTATCAGATCCAGTTAGTTGTGCAACAATCGAATGAAAAAAGGCGTGACTACAATGGCAAGACATGTGTGTGGCCCATGTAAGGGGCGCAGTGTACGGTATGTACATATACTTAGATGTACACATGAAACGGAACTGTGACACTCGCTATGTCTTGCCTTTAGTGGTAGTCTTGCTGATGAGCTTGGCCTTTTCCAATTGGGCCTCACCTGCACGACGATCAGTACGCGATCAGATGAGGGGGGAGTGAAACCGTACTGTGCTTCACAAGGTTCCTCTTATAGTCAACGATGCTGATATCCTCCTTCGTTAGATTGCGAATTGTCTTATCAGCGACTTCCCAAAGCTCCTCAGCAACTTGACTGATCAAACGGAAGTCATGTGACACGATCACCACGCCACCTTCAAAGTCCTTGATTGCAAGCGCGAGCGCATCGATGGAAGCCATATCCAAATGGTTCGTCGGCTCATCTGTCTCGCCACTGATCAGCGGATTGTCAGAAAGCGAGTAAAAGAACAAACCAAGAAGCAGGATATGAGGATGTTCCATCGCGAGCTGTGCGAATACCACTCTGAACGTCTGTGAGTTTGACATCAGTATTCATATTAGACTGCTTACCTGTTTCTCAACCCGTCCGACAAATTGCTAATGACACTCGTTTGGTGCGCACCGCTCAAGCCAAAACGGCCGAGTTGCTGTCTCCACGCCATAGCGTCTTTCTCGGGGTACTTCTCGTAGAAGAGTGATTGGAAGTACTCAATCGGACTTTTATCGTATGGTAGCTGGTCCGCGCTGTGTTGGCTGTACTTGGCGAGTTTGAGTGCAGCATGCTTGGAAACAGTGCCTTGAGAGGGTTGTAGGACACCAGTGACGAGGTTGAGGAGTGTCGATTTTCCGGCACCGTTTGCACCGAGAATGGCTACACGAGAGTCCATACTACATACGAGTAAGCTGGACAAGACTTGAGATAGGAAGAAAAGACACACTCTATACCGAACGACAATTTTTTATACAAGTAATCTTCAGGTTTGCCCGAGTATGAGAAGGCGACTTCGTCGAATGCAATAATGGGAGGAGGGAGTTTGCGAATATCCTCGAAGTGGAAGCGCAGCGGCCGAGGCGTCTCGACTTTTTCAACGAGTCCCGCCGCCTCCATCTTGTCGATAATTTTTTGTTTCGACTTGGCCTGCTTAACGAGGTTGGCATATGTACCAGCGGAAGCGATGAACCTGACAGCGTTCAGTCAATGGTGAATTGCGAGGAAGAATTAGACGTACTTTTTTATGTGAGCTATTTCTTCTTGCTGCTTGTGGTATGCCTTCATCTGATTCACTTCGTTCTCCTGCTTAGTGCGTACGTAGGTGGTGTAGTTACCAGTATAGTAGACGAGCTTCTTGCTCATCGTCAAATCCATGACGTTGGTACAGACGGAGTCCATGAAATCTTGCGAATGCGAGGTGATAACGAGAATGTGGTTGTATGTTGATAAATATGCTTCAAGCCAAACGACAGCGCCGAGATCCAAATGGTTCGTCGGCTCATCAAGGAGGAGCAGATGTGGCTTGACAAAGAGTGCACGCGCAAGGGCGACGCGCATACGCCAACCACCACTCATATCTTTTGTAGGACGGGCCATCATTGCCTGGCTGAAACCAAGACCATGGAGGATACTGCCAGCCTTGGTCTCGAATGTATTTGGATCCATCTCCTCGAGTTCCTCGTACGCGGCCTCCAGGGCGGCGTCATCAACATCATCTGCGATGCTGAGATCTTCGATGCGCTTTTCGAGTTTAGCGACCTTTTCACGAGCGGAGGCCACGATGAAGTCAACGGCATTGACATCGGATGGTTCTGCCTCACCACGGACGAGGTAGATATCAATGTGTGGTGGAATTTCAATGTCGCGCTCTGCGATGGATTGGAGGAAGGTAGACTGGGGGGAAAGCATAAGATGGTAAGATCCAGAAGGAATAATCAATTATACCTTTCCAGACCCATTCTCACCCAACAGACCATAGCGCTGTCCATAGTTGAGGGCAATTTCTGCACCCTCGATGAGCAGACGACCATGGAATGATAAGGTATAGGAATCGATTTTAATATCTCTGCCTTTCACGTCTGACACAAGCACTCCCGCTGCACTCCTATAGCCGGATCAGGATCCTCCATCACAATAGACATAATACACACCTATCAGTGGCGATCTGGAGTTTGGCCATGGATGTCAAGTCATCCGTGCTGTTGGCGGCAGAAATGCTGGTGAGTGGGGTATGAGACATGCTGCCTGGCATAGAGTCGTTGGGTGTAGACGTCGAAGTTGTGCCATTGTGCTTTGCAGATTGCTTTGCAGCCTTTTCTGCGAGCCTCTTCTGCTTTGACGCTGAGGGAGGCATCGTGAATGATGTGCACGATAGAAATCAATTTCTTGCAAAGATCATGTTCGGAGTTCAAAGATTTATGATCTAAGATTTGATAAACGATTATTTGAATAATTACATAATAAAACGCGAAGCGCGGATCATTAGAGTCTCAGGTCACGGTGCATATCGATCAGCGCTCAGCCTCGTCCGATATTTCGGCATGTACTATAAGGGAGAATTGAGGCGGTCCGTTGAACTCCTCCCTGCAGAACACCCGTTACTGTATTTATAAGTACGGTAAGACTTCTGAGGTCTCACGAAGTCCAATTGTCAAAGTCTTTTCAGCGACAGATCTACCATATCATTTGGTGAGAACGGCCATGCGGAAATTGAATAATGAACCATAACGTACACCCTTTCTTCGACTCACTCCGACTCGTTGTGGGACACAAGGCTAAGGACGGCCGTCATCATATTATTTGATTCACCGCTAAGTTTTGGCTCAGATCAGTGCTGCTATAACTCGAGGTATGCATGGTTGGAGTCTATGTCATATGACTCGGAACTGACAAACTTCCTGCACCTTCGGAATTCAGTTCATCCAGGCTGTAACATTCTCCCGTAACGCGTAGCACAGCGGACCGCGATAAAGTGCTTCGCGTGTGATAGGTTGGAGTCATGCGACTCAGAACTTTATCCGAGGATGCTGGCAACACGACCCTACTTCAAGACTCGGAGCGCGGTATAAATGCACCTGGGAGCGCTGAGAAGGGAAAAGCAACGCTTGAGGCAGTGGGTCCCAAGTTGCTGCAGTCAGATATGCTACCCCTCAGTAATCTTGCATCGTCTAGGTTCCAAAAACGTCGTGGACTGTCATGGGTCCTTGTTGTCATTCTCTCGGTTCTGTGCGTTCTGGTATTACCAGTCAGGCCCTCGAACATCATCTCCCCGGCGTCTCATCTTGATTTCTCGAGGGCAGAACCAGTAGTAGATATGCCGGTAGGCATGGGCTTCACTGGAAACGGACGTACGGATGATGTCCTGTGGGACAAGTATAGTTTAATTATCAAAGGGCAGCGCGTTTTCATCCAGTGAGTACTCGATGAACACTCAAATCACATTTGATACATTTTCGTTGTTCACTCAGTTCAGGAGAGTTTCACACATTTCGACTACCTGTACCTGGACTATGGCTTGATATCCTTCAGAAAGTGAAGGCTGCTGGATTTAACGCCATCAGTGTTTATTCCCACATGGCTCTGATCAATCCCTCTCCTGGCGTTGTCGACTTCAATGATTACCGCGCTTTGGAGCCCCTTTACGAGGCTGCGAGACAGACTGGCATATGGATTGTTCTCCGTCCAGGTATGTATATGATCCTTTGTATTTTGAAGGGGTTGATGCTAATGAGAATCAGGGCCTTATATCAATGCGGAGACAACTGCAGGAGGTATTGCACACTGGATAACATCAGAAGTTGCAGGCGAACTGCGGACGAACGCGACGGACTGGCACGCAGCTTGGCAGGACTACGTGCAAGGTGTCATCTCTGAAACTATTCCTTACCAAGTGACCCAAGGCGGACCGGTAATAGGCAAGCCGGCCTTGATCATGTTTTACATTAACTTGTCTGATAGTCACTTCATTCTTAGCAATCCAAGTCGGTCAGTAGCCCTTACATTTGGTGTACCCATACGATCAAATTGAGCTTAATTGCGACATAAAGACAATGAATACTCCCAGGAACCAGCCACGGATGCAGAATACTTTCGCGAGCTGGAAACTGTCTATTTGAACTCTGGTATTGTCGTCCCGTTGACCGCTAACGATCCGGGAGAAAATCGAGCGTGGATCAATGGAACGGTAAGCTGAACTATTTCCAGATGACTGTTATATTGAGTTCCACTACGTGCAGGGTGCCGTGAATATCTACGGGCAAGTCCATTCATGTGACACTTGGACTCGCGTTGACACAATTATTGTCCTCAAGTTTGGATTCCTACCCACAAGGGTTTGACTGTTCCAGCCCAGACGTATGGAGCCCGGTCGTCACGAACTATTATAGCTATCATGAGTGTATGTGATTTATACTGGTACCTCTTACTTCTGATACTAAGTCAGTATTCAGCTGTTGATCCTGGTCAACCTTGGTATTTCCCAGAGTTCCAGGGTGGTTCTTTCGATGCTTGGGGTCCAACGGCACCAGGTAAATCATTAGTCTACGCCTTGGTTATGCCTTCACATGACCTTCCTGTCAGGTTATGATCAATGCCGTATACTCACGGGAGCCAATTTCGAGAATGTCTTCAACCTCAATCTTTGGGCATCCAACGCAAAACTAATCAACTACTACATGCTATATGGGTAAGCCTTTCATTCTTGTACTTGGTGTGAAGCTCAACACGCTTACAGAGGAACTTCATGGGGTGCCCTTCCTTTCCCCGGAGTTTACAGTGAAGTTCTATCCCTCTAACAGTGAAATTACTAGCTCATCGGCTAGCAGCTTCATACGATTATGGGAGTGCCATTGCTGAGAACAGGGAGCTGACTGTCAAGTATCCGGAACTTAAACGCCAGGGTCTCTTCTTGCGAAGCTCCCCAGATTTCTATAAGACGGACTGGGTTGGAAACAGTACTGGCGGCATGGTTTTCGTCTCCAATCCGGCTGCCTTCGTAACTCTGTTAAGGAACCCCGACTCAGCGGCGTCGTTCTACATTGCAAGGCAAGGGGATTCCACAACAACGTGAGCTTATATTATGCCGTCACATTAAGCCGAGTGTTTACAATTCCGTTAGGGATGCAATCACCTTCAAGCTGAATGTCACTACTTCTGCTGGTAACTTTGAGGTCCCCCGTTTCACATCCGGAATTACACTCGGGGGCAGACAATCAAAAATTATCGTCACTGATTATTCATTTGGCTCGTCATCGAAGGTTCTCTACTCCACAGCGCAGGTTCTTTTTGCCGGCCAGATTGGTGGGAGAGATGTACTGTTCCTCTACGGCGACCCTACATCTGAGTTAGAGGCTGCTCTGACATTGAATGGTACACCTCGCATACAAGGGCAAGGGGTTTCTTTGTTATCCTCGAATGGCGTCACTCCCGTCACTTTCCTTCCGGGCATTCAAGGACTCATCACGATTTGGGATTCCAGTGAGCAGCTTGTCCTCTATAGTGATACCGACACCGCTGGAACCTTTTGGTCGCCCGAAATCTCTGCCAATGATTCTGTCGAGCTTGCCAACTATTGGCAGTTTGGCACGAATTCCTCCGTCCTGGTTGGAGGTCCTTATTTGGTTCGCAACGCTACAATCACTGGATCGACGCTCGCCCTCCGTGGTGACTTAAATGACAGCGTTCAACTTACAGTCATTGCGCCAGATGACGTGAAGACCGTTACATGGAACGGAATTCCTATCTCAGCCGATGCCGCTGCGGTCTCAAATTTGACCACCCAGGGAGGCTTTGTTGCTCAACTGAAGCCCTCATCCACGGTGCTTGGCTTTGTTCCACCCGCACTTACAAACTGGAGATATGCAGACAGTTTGCCAGAAATCCACAGCGGATTCTCTGATACCGATTGGACTCTTGCTAACCATACCACCACGAACATACCCTTCAAGCCCTACTACGGCGATGGGAGGGTTCTCTATGGCTGTGACTATGAATAGTCAGTCATCGACTGGTCTGCATCCTCTATTATAGCTCATTGACTAACAGCTGCGAGAACATCGTACTTTGGCGTGGGCACTTCAATGCCACGGAAAATACACAATCTGTCAATCTCTCCATCAATGGCGGCGAAGGTGGGTCTAAAGGAGTAAAAGAGGTATGAATACTAATTACGTCAATTAGCTTTCGCTGCCACTGTCTGGGTGAATGACGTGTTCTTGAACACATCCTACGGAAAGTAAATAATTATCATGGATACGATCTGAGGGTGTTACTGACCCCAGTTACATAGCTCCACAAATAACCAAAATATTCTGGAAGAAACGGATGATAAGTTCCACTTCCCTCTGGGATCTTTGCTTTACGGGCAAGATAACGTCATTACTATCCTTCAGGTAGGTTCTCATATTCTAGGCTGTCATTGCCACTGATGACAGATCTAGGATAATATGGGCCTCAATGAGTCGGGCTGTAAGCCACACATTGAACTCAGACCGAATCGATTCTGATGTTGATGACGATTTCAGCTGTTGTTGATGAAGAGAAATCCCCTCGTGGTGTCCGTGGCTTCATGCTCAATACCGGAGAGTTCGGTGAATGGAAGGTTCAGGGTAAAATTGGCGGATATACCAAGTACGTTTTCCTTTTTCGGGCATGACCACCTCGTCAGCTCATGACGACACAGTTATCTCGACAAGGTGCGCGGGGTGCTGAATGAAGGAGGTCTTTATGGTGAACGCATGGGCTGGCATTTACCTGGGTTTGATACCTCTTCTTGGGCGCTGAGAGACCTCTCTGAGGGTCTGCCCAACGCCGCTGCCGGTGTTGGGTTCTTTGTTACGACGTTCAACTTAAGCATCCCGGATGGATTTGATGTTCCAATGTCCTTCGTGTTTGATAACACCTCTCAACCTTATCGATCTCGATTATACGTCAACGGATGGATGATGGGTAAGAGGGTGTCCAACCTTGGGTACGTCTGTTTCAATTTGTCACATGAACCGGGCTGATAGAAAGGTACAGGCCCCAGTATCAGTTCCCTGTCCAGCAAGGTATTCTGGACTACAACGGCACAAAGTACGACCCCTGATATGACCGTGAGATGATTACTGACTTCCGTATAGTACTGTTGCCGTCGCGCTGTGGGCTATGGAACCGACAGCTGTCACTCCAACTTTGCAGGTCACCATTGAAGGCGTTTACGAAGGTGGCGTCGGCGGTATTGAGACTAACAACCCTCCTTGGTCACCTGAAGGACGGTCATAGGTCTGGAACGCTCGGACAAAACGTTGCACTATCATATTTACGATGCATCTTTGTCGATAAGACCTTTGGTATTCCAAGTCAAAAAATGATAGATAGCTTCCCAACAAACTATGATCTATCGAAGAACTCGAAAATAGAATGAAATCTCCTTATATTGTAAGGAGATAATGTGGGTGTTTTGCTTCTTCATAGATCATCTCGAGTTGGACACCGGTCGTGTATCAGGCGATGGGCTTAAGCTGTAAGACGGTTAATTTTCAACATGGTTTAGCAAACTGGGTCACGGTAATAATTGAAATGAGGGTGCAAGAGCTTAGTCAGCAGCTTTACAATTCAATAGAGGCAAACAACCCTCGCTCAGTACTCAGGCTGGGCTAACGCTGGAGCAGGGCCAGCGGCCTAAGCCAGAGCAAGGCAGACAAGCTGAGATGATGATGGATGCTAGCTACGAACATGGCGAAACCTAGTCTACGTGCTGACTAAGCTGTGGAAAGGGCCGATAGGACCCTTCAAGTTCAAGTGCGCCCTTGGAACCCCTACGCTAGTACCTGCATAGTGTTCATTTTGATAAAGTTCCGAATTCAAACATCCGTGGTCCGTCACAACTGAGAATGCCGCTACACCTACATCATGGCGAATCCGCCATTTATACATTTTTGACACGGCAATGATCGTATTCCACCCTCTGCCACTCGTCAAGGTACAGCAATCGTTGGGGAGTCGATAGCACAAATTGGTATGCATTAACATCTAGAACATGTACAGATGATTTCTCATGGCTCCTGCAGCAATTTCAATCGTGACTTAAAGTTCCTCGACCAGAGCCGACCTCTTCGCAACCAAAAATTGTATTTCAAGCAGAACAACGCGAAGAGAATGAAGACGGCAGGGTACTTGTCAACATTTCTCGGCTTTCTCATCTTCCTGTTCTTGGGTTAGATCTCATGGCTACTTCTACCCACGATGTTCCCGAAAAGACTGGCCAACAGCGTGTTCGTACTTCTTGGACAAATGTGAATGGAATTACAAACGGAATCGCTGACACCACTGGGAAGAATGGATCTCTGGCGACACTCGTGCCCGATTTTAGCGCTTGGCAAAAAGGACAAGGTGCCGCTGTCTGTAGTATCTGGGCAGGCGAAAGTTTGTCTGGCCATGACTATCACTCGCTTAGAATGGGAGGTGCCACCGCCCATAGGGCATGTCTGCTTGGTGTTTACCGATATCCGAAATTCGACGCAGTTACAATCCCGGTTCCACAGTGATACCTCATCCTATTAACGGAAGGTGACGCGTTTATGAGCTCCTTTCCAATTACCATTGCCGCGATATGGTGGTTCATTGCTGTCCAGCTTCAACTTCTTCACGTGCGCTGGCCTCGGGAAATACTGGATTCCCAGGAAGCTAAAGAAGTGTTGGATGAATACGGAAACCTTCAAAACGCGGCATTCACTCTAAACACCTGCGAACTGGATTCTACTACTCGTCACATGGATTATCTCGGGTGAGAGGTTAACCGGAGCGCCCGTGTTTGTGCGGGCGCGCTTGGTGGACAAATCGTGCGCAGCGCCGACGTTGTCTGAGAAATTTATGTGGGCCTGTTCGATATTGGTACACACTCGATATATCAACCAACTCAGGCTAGGAGGCGACCCGGAGACTGCAGAGGGTCCTTGTCCCTATCGGCAAAATCAAATTGAAGGGACTAGAACTTCAGCGCTTAGATGCCCTGGTTAGATCTGAGCACGTCCCTGTTATCCACCCTTAGGCACAAGTAGATTCTGGTGCTAATAGCACCGCTGCACGAGTTCATCTGACGAGACTCCATCCGATGACGCATGTCTGGAGAGATGAGCTTTGTGTCCTAGTCCTGTCCATTCTTATATCGCTTTGATAATCACGTTCGTTTTCTTCTGTTAGGAACACCGCTGTTTACTGTGAAGCGCTGTGTCACTCACTTTTAGCGCCCAGCAAATGAATTTTACATAAACAAACGTTACTGAGATTGCGAAACTGGAAAAATCTCAAGGAAGAACTTCCTTCGTCACCAAGAAATTCCTTTTGAAGGCTAAAAAGCTATGTACTAATGGTGCCACAAACCACAAGGCATAGTTGATAGTATATGCGGAAGGATTGAAGCACTAGGTTAACGTTCGACGATGATGTTTGCGATCGTATGTCGGTTAGATCGTGATGGCCTATAAGTCACGTGTCTACCAATATCATGTCTTCCTCAGACCAACAAGAGCCCCAGGCTGTTCGTCCGATAGAGGTCCTGTACTGCCAAAGTAAAGACGATTTTCATTATTTAACCCGTGTTACTGATGTACGTCGATTTCTTAGTCTGCACATTTCCTCCCGAATACTGTGAATTTGGCTCCAGCTTGACGAGATGCAAGGAATGGCTACAGGGAGCACACTCTCAGCTTTTTGAAAAGTACTACTCTGATGGTAAGCATTTCATCTCAGTACTAGTTTCTACTAATCGCGATGATCTTGAAGAGGCTCTTCAGTCAAAGATTGGTACCCTCAGCTTGGAGGCGCAGGCAAAACTCGAGAAGGACACTGCGAAAAAGGAGGCAAAGGCTGAGGCAAAGGCGGATGCTGCGCATAAGAAAAAGATGGTACGTTTTTGAGCTACTTGGATTACACATTCATCACTCAAATCCATCCAGGCGTCGCAAGTGTCAATCAAACGCATCGAGCGTAACAAACGGAAACACGTTACAGCTATCCATGGCCTTGAGGCATTTGGTATGTTTATCGCTTTGAGGGCAACCCACTAAATGAAATAAATTACATGTAGACATTGACTTGAAGAAAGCTGCTAAATTCCTTGCACAGAAGTTCGCTACTGGGGCATCCGTCACCAAGAACGCCCAGGGACTGGATGAGATCGTAGTGCAGGGAGATGTATCAGACGACGTTTTGGAGCTTATTGAAGGCGGAGCTGGTCCATTGAAGGGCGTGCCTGCGGAGAATGTTGTAATCGTTGAAGAGAAGAAGAAGAAAGCTGCAGAATGATTGTATCGTTGAAGTCCATCGGATGTGGTTGTACGACTTGAATTTCCGTAGTGATTGATGTATCCATTCCAACTCCCGAGTCCTCCAGATCGTATGAGTCATCCCAAGCTCGCGATTGTGATCTTATCGAGGGTGTAAGTATCATAGTAACTACTGTGGGAATTCACAGAAGACCTCGGACTGTACTGCCTCGTGCCAACTTATCCTTTTCACATCACATACTACTATGCTCAAAGCAATAGGAGGCGCTATCTTCAAAGCAGACATTTATGAAAGAACTCGCATCAAAGCATAAGTCAAAGAGTTCGCGGACACGCGAATCGTAAGGCAACCTTCCACAAAGATGTGCACACTTCTTTTGGTTTACACAAACTGCAGCAATCGCTTTGACTACGTACCTTTGACGGTGTTGGCTCGAGCCACCCATATGAGTTTGTGTCCCTCTTTGACATACGCTGGTATAAATTGAAGGTTAGTTTTACATGTTCTGTCGTCACCAAGTACTCATCCCAATAATCTTTCTTTCCCTGCACACGCATAACTTTCTGCAATGTCTTACATGAACCCTCTTCATCCCCCCGTTCCCAGCAACATTCGCTCATCATACACTGCTCTTGCTGGTGCCTGCTCCGCATATCAACCTCTCTTCGCTCAATCTATGCCGCCCACCCACCGACGCCTGCCTCAGGCGCCATTATCGAAGGTGCCGACATCTCGTCGTTCCCCTCCTTGTCCTGCCGTCACTTTTGACCTTCATGGGGCTCCCTCACATGGTCTTGGCGTTCCTATGTGTGAATTGCTGGCTCGTTCAGGAGGTGCACTGGAACGTATGCTCGTCGGTGCGAATGACGGCGTTGGTGCTCAAATGAGCGGATCTCTTGGCTTTCGCAGAGTCAATCTCAAGATCTTGGTAAGTTAACTCATGCCATGCATTATTACTTGTTGCCTGATCTCTATCTTCACTTTAGTGGCCGGGGTATGAGCATCTTGATCGCAGTTACCCCCTTGATATTCATACTCCAGCTGGTCCTCTCACCCGTGGGCAACTGGCCGTTCAAGTTGCACATGCATTTGCGCGCTTCATTGAGGTTTGTCCTTTCTTCAGTTCCGGTCGTATTCACACTCACAGCATTTCCACAGGAACTGCAAGGTTACCCCCCTGCACAGCATGGCGCCAGTTGGCGCTTCGGAAATGGTGGAATTGGTTTTAATCGCCTCATGCTCTCGGCCCTCTGGAACGTCTATGATGACGTGTGGTTGGCTGAGGTCATTGTCGACTTTCGTTAAGCGGAGTCGTGAACTCGACTCATTGGTCATCGCCGCATGTCTTCTCGCAACTCACACCTAACACAGCAACAACACTCGTGCACATGTAGCCCTAGATATTTCGTCTCTTACTGTAACTTTTACTTTATCATAGATCGTCTCTTCACGATCCCTACCCTGACACTCCTCACAACTGACAAGATAGAAGTACATGATTTAACCACAGGGACTCGTATTAGCCATAATTATAAATTTGTATATATAGACATAGATTGATTTATTACTACATTTGTACCCTCCCTCGTGTTGCCAGCGTTGCAAACGTGCCACACGGGTGCGATGAAATTCTACTATCCGGGATTGGGCTTCCATTCCTCTAAATCCATCAATAGGCAGTGCGCAGTACGACCGCCAAGGCTTGTACTTCCATTACGGCTCTGCTAGAGATATCACACATGCGCTACGAACATTCTCGGCGTCAAAGCGTCACTCTCTGACCTCAGACATCCATGAGCGACCACAGTAGACCAAGACTTACTGTAGAGAGGCAGATAACAACTCCGAGACACATCCTAGAACGTGCCAAAGGCTTGTTAACAAGTACTGGCCTACCCACGCTAGCTGCGCAGGAAGCACTGCAAATTGTCGCACCAGACCTGTCTCCAGACGAGGGAATGGCCTTACACACGAAAAACTTGGATGATGGGAATGGGAGACTAAGAGATTCTATGATAGGTTTTCTCAAGGCGAAAACGGCTCCAATTGTCAAGAGTATTCGATCGAGGAGTCAAGATGCTCGCCATAATAGGAAGGATGATCAACGTCCTCCACTTTCTGACTCAACGAGTACGCCTAGCTCAATATTCTCTTCATCGGAAGAGCAACCCATGACGACGCTTGCCGTGTCCAATTTACCAGGCACAACGAGCTCTGATGTCGCACCACCCGCACAACGCATCGCTGAAAAGTCATCGATATCCATGGCCGACGGAACTGTTCCTCTACTGCTAAGAGAAGGAGTACACATGACAAAAATATCTCCTGGAAAGCAGAAAAGTTATATATTTAAACTCGATCCTGATCAAGGTCAGATCATATGGCAATCCAAGAAACTGCGGATCAGTACGTGCTTTGACTTGCGACTCTCCTCTGGCCTGTTGACATACTGAACCATTGCAGTCCCTATCGAGAATATTAAGGAGCTTCGCTTCTCATCTGACGCCCGTTATTATCGCCAACAATTCCAACTTGCGCAAGATTATGAAGACAGATGGATTACCATCATCTACATTCTCAATGGCGCCTATAAAACCCTTCACCTGATCTCTTCAACCAAGGATGTATTCCGCATGTGGGACATCACACTGAGGAAGCTTTATGCAATACGCCAAGAACTTATGACGGGTCTTGGGAATGAAGAGATCAGACATGCGATCTGGGAGAAGCAGTACTGGACGGCATCGGATCAGTCGAGCGACCATAAGTTGCGCTTTGATGAAGTGGAGAAGCTCTGCAGACGCCTAAATGTTCATACTTCGACAGAGGAGCTGAAGCGGCTGTTCAAGGTGGGAAAAAATCATTTATCCTCTCGCACAAAAAGCTCACAACTGCGCAGCAAGCAGACACGAAGTGCCAAAGTTTTCTTAACTTCTCTGACTTTCAGCGCTTTGTCAAACTGCTTAAGGCGCGCCCGGATATCGCCCTGTTGTACAAGAAACTGTGCTATAGCAACGACGGGCAATTTGATTTTAACGTCTTTGAGCATTTCATGCGTAATACTCAGAAGGCATGTTTTTCAGTTTGATCCAGCTTTGCGAAACTGATTATCATTCAGTCTACGCTGTCCCGCCCTGAACTCTTAGAACTGTTCGCGCATTACGCCAAGAAACCGGATGATTCATCGGATGCCAGCCCACCATACTCTCCACCCTTGCCCGACGGACCCGCATCTCCGCCCTCAAGATTACTTTCTCCTCCATTGTCTACTTCTCCCCCGTCCGATAATGTGATCTCACAGCCCCTCATAGCTCCCATCGACATATCAGTGGCCTACATAACTCACAAACTTTCCGCATCTTGTCGGTCTCCCAGACTGGTCATGTCACTTGATAGTTTTACCTCATTTCTTTTGTCTTCCGACAATTCAGCTTTCAAAGAGCAGCAAGGCAAAGTGTGGCACGATATGACGCGTCCACTTTCGGAGTATCTTATCTCTTCCTCGCACAATACATATCTTACCGGCAACCAACTCGTTGGTTCTAGTACAATCGAGGGTTACATCCGGGCTCTTTTGCACAGTTGCCGTAGCGTCGAGAGTAAGTGCAATCTTTTCTGGAGTTTCTTTGACTCATTTCACCTACGTCCGTCACAGTTGACGTTTATGATGGCGACAATGAACCGATGATTTTCCATGGAAAGACATTCACTTCTAAAGTTCCAGTGAGAGAAGTGTGCGAAGCCATCGCAAAGTATGCTTTCGTTACGTCTCCATACCCCATCATCATATCTGCCGAAATCCACTGTTCGGTGCTGCAACAGGAGATGATGGTGGAGGTCATGCGCGATGTATTCCAAGATGCGCTCGTCAGTGCACCTGTGGAAGGGCGCCCGACGTTAGAAGTTCTCCCAAGTCCAGAGCACCTGAAAGGGAAGGTGCTGTTGAAGGTGGTTTTTGTTTTTCATATGGGTGGAGTCTCGTGTTTACAACATCGCCACCTCTAGGCAAAGAGCCTCCATGTCTCAGAGAACGAATCTATTCGTGCGAAAGAAGTCAGCATCGACATAGAGTCCTCTTCTACCGAAACATCCACAGACTCAGATGTTGTTCAAGACATCAGGGACGAGCGGACAAAGCTAAGGGTCTTTGAAATGGATGCTATCAACGGTGAGATATGCGCAGCAAGTCTACTTTTTCGGGGCTAATGGATGCGATAGAGGTGAAGGACGAGTTCAAGAAGGCCCGCAGTCTATTCAGTCGTGTTCGCGGTGGACATTCCCACAATATGTCTGGCGTAGCTGCTCTTGCTGTACCGACTGTGACCTCTTTAGCGACGTCTGAGCCCCCTGCTCGACCGGAACTTCGTGACGTCGGCAAAGTTAAGATGTCGATCGCTGTTGCGAGTCTCCTTGTATACACCGTTGGTGTGAAGTGCCGAGGTATCAACAAGAAAGAGCACTACGCACCGGAACACATGTTCTCTCTCTCAGAGAAGACGGCTAACAAGGCGATGAAGCAAGGAATGGTAGATCTTATCAAGCACAATAGGACACATCTGGTTCGACTATATCCAAAAGGCTTGAGAGTGAACTCGTCTAACTACTTACCGCATCGCTATTGGACTGCTGGCGCGCAGCTCGTGGCTATCAACTGTCAGACGTTCGGTACATTTCTAAGGTTGGCTATCATCGATTGGTGCTGATTGGTGTCTAGATCTAGGTTACATGATTAACCATGCCATGTTCCAGCGCAACGGACGAGCGGGCTACGTCTTGAAGCCCCTGGCCCTCCGTACACATGACAAGGAGTTGCTATCTCGTCATACTCAACATTCGCTTGACATATTGGTATGTATTTTCCTCGCTGTACTTGATGCGACCAACTCTTATGCTTTCATAGGTCATCTCCGCTCAACAGCTACCTCGTCCGAAAGACTCCCTCGGGCACGAGATCATGGAAAAGTCTATGGTGGACCCATACGTCGAAGTTTCCATCCACGTTCCCGACTGGCCTCACGCCTCGTGTCACCATTCATCCTCTTCTTCTGCAACCCCTTCACCTTCCTCAACTGGTTCAACTGGCCGACTCCTGTCCAGACGCACCAATTCAGTCAAGAACAATGGCTTCAACCCTGTTTGGCAGGAAACATTGAGCCTTCCATTCGACTGTGTTGGCGACATGTTTGATTTGATCTTTGTGCGTTTCGCGGTGCGCAGGGATGGCGACAACGATGAAGAGCCGATTGCCGTGTATTGCGTCAGCCTTGGAAGTTTGGCGATGGGTCAGTATTTTCAGGACTGTGGCGTGACTCTGTATTGACGTCATCTGCAGGCTATCGGCATCTACCTCTGCACGACACGCAACTCTCACAGTACCTCTTTTCCACTCTTTTCGTAATGTGTGCTATCAACTAAAGTCACCTCCAACTTCATTGTATACCGACACCTCATGCCCAGTTCACAAGTGGAATATATCACGCAGTAGGAATAGGCACCTTAGATAATTAATTGTGTGGTAGTCAAGATATATAAATAAACTGCGTACACACACAAGTGGACACCATACAATTCAGAAATAACAATGACAAGTAGACTTCCAAGAGCATGCAAGATGATGACAGTAGATGAAGGATATAAACATCGGTTGATATAGATGCATGGGCTCTATAGTTGTTCGATTTATTCTACTTCGGTGGGGGAGTTGGTGGACCTAGAATTGAAGACAAAGAAAAGTTAATACAGTCTAATCGTGGGACACATTGACATACCGAAAAGACCAGGACGTGCAGCCGGCGTCACAGGCCTGGGCGAAACAGGCGCAGGCATCGGTGCTGGTACGTGCGCAGGATTTGCTAAAACATGGAGATCCGTTCAATCATGAGATGTGAATCGGAAGCGATATAACACATACGCCTCCATTGCGCCCATGCGGGCAGATTTGGCTTTGGAGGTTCGATCGCAGGAACGGGAGCCGGAGCAGGAAGACTCTTGGGAGCCGGCTTTTCTCGTCTTTGTGGTTTGTGGACGACCCTCCAGGCTGGGCGGGCGGGGCCGGTTAAGCCTTCTTCTGGAGGAGGCGAAGCTGCAGGGGGTGGGGGCGGAGGCGGCTCCTGAGGCTACAAGACATCAGAGTTTGGTGATGCCCCAAGATCTCATAGCACTCACAGGTGGCCTCCAATCAGGAGAATATTCACCTCCTGCACCATGTTTGGATTTAACGGCCATAAGCTCAGCAATTTCGCTTTTCGCGTTGGCAATCAGCTGCGCACATTGAACAGATAAAGGCGGATACGTACAATTGAAGCTGCCTGCGCTCATCCCTAAGCTTTCCTACCTCTGCCAGCAAGATGCGAACTTCGCTCGCAAGGGCTTTGCTAAAATCGTTGAGGTATCTGGTGTGGCCCATCCATGAGTCTTCTAGCGTCCTGCCCGCGCAAAAACTATAGTGATCTCACTTGGGAGGAGCGCCGTTGTTGTAGGGATTTGGGCCGCCTTTATTGGAGGACATACTTTGAAAGTCTGCGGTGATGGGTTGAATGGGGACTGGGATTATGGCTTTCTGACAAACGTGCCGGTGCGCGTGGACTGGAAGCAATAATCCTGGGACACACGAGGCAATTATAGTAACCGCCTGAAAAAGTAACAGCTTGCAGTGTGCACAAGGCCTGGGCCTGCAGGTCGGATGTACTGACCAAACACTAGGACTCTAAACCAGTACTGTACTATTCAGCAGTATCACGACTGATTCAGAGTTCAACGCTCACCAATGACTGCAAGCCTATTAAAAACCTTTGACGTGAGGAGATTTCTAATTACTTGTAAGCGGCGGTACATGCATACTTATGTAAATTTGGACTTGACAGGTCTCTACAGCACTCACAGACTCGGCCTTTCCATTCAATTGGATTCACGACGTTATACGTATATTCGTCATGTATCTAGTTGCGTTCTTTGCTGCTAGTCCGCCGACTATCGAGGCCCAGGGTGGTAGCAGTTTCAGCAGCGGGGAATTTCTGCATCAACCCAGTCGTCGAGATAAACATGATGGTACGTCTCACTTCAACTCTGATCAGATCTACCAACTAAGCAGTGCGTTAGGGATATGCATTCTTACCACAAACTGACACAGGCCTCCACATGCGCAATGCAACCGCGCTTTTATCATCGCGGACGCTTCTTACCCGTCTGAACGTGTTCTCTTCATTAACTCTGGTGCGTCATTCATACCCAATTTATATACTCCAACTCAACGTAACCACAACAAACAGACATTGGTGACGCCGGCATCCAACGAATCATTCTCACTCTCTTGAATCGCTCTATGGAGACCTCTACATGTCCACCAACACTGCGCTACTCGGAACTCATGTCCGTCTTCCTGCAGGTCATTCTCCTCAGATATGTGAACGCAACCGCAGCCGCCATCATCTTCGGTGCCCTCAAAGCCATCGCAGACGTACGCAACTCACTCATACCCAGTACACATACTTCCACCTGGCATTCCTGCATCCAGTGACTCCAACCTGGTGCGTGTTTTGTGTGTGTCGTAGACTTCGGCAAGGGAGCAAAGTTGTCAAAACCGCTTATTATTACAATGAGTCGGATATTCTTAGCGAGTCTTACTTACGTTTCCTTCCGTCGCTGTGAGATTATGGCGGTCAGAAAGACTCGTACTTGTTTGGGACAAGTGATATTCAGCTCGCCGAACTCAAGCGCAAAATTCCCTCGTTTGGTACGAAGGAGGTCAATTCTACCAAGGGGGAGTAATGAAGAAACCCTACATCAAACCAATCCTACCACTGGACTCAAGATACGTACCGGAGAACGTGAGCAGTGATCCAGGACCTCCGATTGTCGTTGTCAAGGCATCCAGTATCCGACCTGAGGTTCGCATTAGCCCCTTCAATGCAGTCACGGAACGTTGAAGGGTATGTACATCGATTATCAGGTCATATCTTTGACCGCAAGCCTCCCGGAAATATGATTTGTTGCAGCATTGACTTCCAGCGCTGTGCTTTCAGTAGGCACCATAGAATTCAACACACTAGCTAGCTTCACTCATCTTTGATCTGTTCAGGGAAAATCCGGGATTAGTATTTGAGCCTACATTCGACGCGGGCTAAATCTTAAAGACTTCCGCTTCATCGACGATGTCAGTATCAGCGGAATTATCGGGGCTTCTGAATGTCTCCTCTCGAAATCATCACCCACAATGACTAACCTGACACCCAAAGTGCACCACTCTATTACAGAGCCACGTGCTGCATCCCTCGCCTCTCAAGCCAATAACAACAGCTGTCATGTCAAGGAGTTCAACACGCTGGTGCGCTCTTCTCGAAATGCAGAGACGACCTTGCAGGCGCTTGCGGTATCATGTTTGATGAGCGAAGATTCTTACTCTCGTTCATATCTTCGTTTGTCCCCGGCTTCCTTCAAGGTACAAGTTATAATGCACATGTGTTGATCTGGACTACTTGCTAACTGTCGCAATAGAGCTTGGTTTAGTTTCGTAACAATTGTCAATCTGACTCATGTGTTACTTATCGGAATCCTACTGTGAATGAATGACTGATATTGTCTTCATATATACACCGCTCGAGGTCAATTCTCTTCCAGATGAAGTTCCATATCCTTGGCTATTTTTCTGTCCTCCCAACAGCCCCTCAATCCGATCACAGACTGGCCAAAATTGGAACCTACTAGTCATCGGCATAGTAGAATTGGATGCGGTCATTCGAGACCCCACTGTGCACGCCATCGTCATGCTCGTTATTGAGGTATCACTACAGCTTCAGTATGAAAATTATCTCTAATGACGACTTGTACAGCTACGTGACCCAACAACAACCTCCCTCGTCGAAACTTAGAAGCCTCCATAGGTGTATGCTTATAGGACACCTGGATCCTTCTTTACAATATCAAGTATAAGATTTCGTTCCTGCATTTAGTGTGGCGCCTAA